ACGTGTGTCAACCAAGTCAGCAAGCCTGACCACCCGATCCCGTTAGTCGCCTCTTACGACAAGCATGGGTTACTGAAGATCAATATTCTAACTCGGACCTTCACGGGTAGAAACAAAGAATGAGAAAAGAGGTCATGTTAACGGGTGGCTGTCAAGATTACTCAATGTATATAGTGACGTGCCTGCACATGTGTGCGTGCGTATGTGTGCTTGCGTATGTGCCTGCTAGCCCCAACTAATGCCGGTATTGTAGTGCCAGCTTACTGAGATACCAGGCCCCAGTCTACATTCAGGGCTATGAACCTTTACGAACACGGTAAGGGGGTCGAAATCTTCTTCTAACATCCAAGTCCTGTGCAAAATCATCTGGACATGAAAACATCAGGGAATAATTTACCACGAGAACTAAAAAAAATGAACTAAACACTTTTAAATCACTGCTCAAACCCCGGCTGTTCAAGGACTAATAAGTTCCCATGATTCAAAGCGATTTTGAGTGAGTGAGTGAGTTTAGTTTTACGCCGCACTCAGCAGTATTCCAGCAATAAATAATTCTGTAAATAAACTAGAACAGACAATCCAGTGTTTAACAGCATGAGCATCGATCTACGCAATTGGGATACGATGACATGTGTTAACCAAGTCAGTGAGCTTGACCATCCGATCTGTGTAGTTAGTTGCCTCTTAAGACAAGCATATGGGTTACTGAAGATCAATTCTAACACGGATCTTCACGGGTCTAAAGCGCTTTTGAGCAGCAATCTGTTGCCGGGTATATACTGAGTATTTTGACTGATTGATTGACGAGGATACCTTACTCAGACACACAAAACTGACCCAAGCTGACCAGTCCGTTTATCCCCTAAATGTGCCAGGCAGGGTAACATCAAGTACCCGATATCGTGGTATGACGCGGTTGAATATCGAACCACTACCACTTCCGCTTTCTGTGCAGACTAGACAAAGGAGGCAGCTCCATGAATAACAGGGATGGTTTAATAAAGGTTTAACCATTTCCAAATGAAAAATAATCTTTTCACTTCCGATTTGTCGGGGTCATATCTGATACCAAATTTAATTATAATTATTGATTAACTATAACTTAAATGAATTAATCGTGTCGATGACACTGGCCGTTACATGATAAACGCTTTGACCTTCCTTGGCACTTACCATTATTGTTTTATGTAGATGACCTGCTGGTTTCTGTTCCCAGCCAAGCACACATCTCTGTCTAAAGAGTTCCTACAAGCCCTGGAGAGAGACACAACCAAAGTCGTGAAGTCGGTGTTCAGTTTGAAGAAGCGTAACGTCGTCACCGACACCCTCAGCTCCCTGGGGAGCGCCATCGCAGCTGCCTTCAAGCCAGCCGTTGATTCTGTTTCACAGGTATGAGATGGAAACGTGGTTGAAGTGACAACGTTCACAGCGACGTGCGTGTATGTGTTTTCATGTTTGGGTGCGTGCACGAGACCGGACCGCAATATTCTAGCTACATGGTGTCGGTCTGTAAATAATCGAGTCTTGGTCAGACAATCCAGTGATTGACATCACGAGCATCGATCTACGCAGTTGGGGTACGATCACATGTGTCAACCAAGTCAGGGAGTCTGACCACCCGATCCCGTTAGTCGCCTTTTACGACAAGCATGGGTTGCTGAAGACTAATTCTATAGAGAATCATCACGGGTTTGTCAGGACGCATGTCCTAGTGTTAGCCCAAAGAAAGGGTAGCTAAGTGGTAGCTAAGTGGATGTAACGTTCGCCCATTATCTCGGAGGCTGGGGTTCGGTTATGGGTACTATTTTAATCCCTTTCCTGATGCCCGGCCGCGTCATACCAAAAGACGTTAAAATATGGTACGTGTTGGTCCCTGCCGGGCGCTCGGCATTAATGAGTACAACAAGGACTGGTCGGCTCGGAGTCAGTATAAAGTGTCTGAGTGGGGTATTCTTGCTTCACTGCGGCATGGAATCTCAGTGGCTAGCACTATAAAACCAGCTTATGTCTGGGCTAGTACAAGCAGCCGCACATACACATACACACGCATGCACATCGTCATATGAGCAAAATATTCTCAAGCACCACGTTAAACCCAATTTCACCTCACCTCACCCTTTCCTGATGACTCTTATCGATAGCCTATGCATCATTCGATCAAAACAACATCATTTCAAACTATTATTTATTGTTTAGGCGCGTAAATGAAGTTTAAGTGAACCTTCTTGGCTAAATTGCTTAGTTTTGGGGCGTTGGGAGCGGTAACCTAGTGGTTAAAACGTTCGCTCGTCACAACGAAGACCCGGGTTCGATTCCCCACATGGGTACAGTGTGTGAAGCCCATTTCTGGTGTCCCCCGCCGTGATATTGCTGGAATACTGCGTAAAGCGGCGTAAGACTAAACACACTCACTCACTCGCTTAGTTTTGGTTTTGCCAATTCAAGCAAATAATTGTATACGTACAGAAACAATGATGAGGAAGAAGGCGAGCATAATCATAGCCCATGGACAAGTCTCCATCTTGCTTAAATGTGTAACATTGTTTAGCACGAAGGGGTGCAAAGTTGGTGCTCATTGGCGTGCCGGTGTCTTGCTCAAATATGTAAACCGAACAGTTTTCAGCAAGAAGGCTCGCACGGTTGGTTCTCATTGGCGTGCCCACTCCTTGCTTAAATGTGTAAACCGAACGGTTTTCAGCTCGAAGGGGTGCACAGTTGGTGCTATGGGGAACATACCTCTTGCTTGACCCCAAAGTCTCTCCAGGAACGTTGATTCCTCGCCCAGTGTCTGGTTCATGTACGTTTTGTTTGCAGATGGTCCACGGAGCAGGATCTGCTATCAGCGTCGCGGCTAATGGCCTCCTGAGCGCTGCCAAGGACTCCATCTCCCAGCTCGGGGAACAGCTGAAGCCCCACGTCGTCGCTCTCTCCTCCCAGATCGGTCAGCTCACCCAACACGGCACCAACGCCATCAACGCCATGAAAGACGCTATGAAGGACATCTTCAGTGAGTTACCCCATCCTGGCACCAGTTTAGTCCAACTCCGTTCGCAATACTACAACGACCAGGTTGATAGCCTATGTCGTGGATATGTGAGTGAGTTTAGTTTTACGCCGCGCTCAGCAATATTCCAGCTATATGGCGGCGGTCTGTAAATAATCGAGCCTGGACCAGACAATCCAGTGATCAACAGCATGAGCAATCGATCTGCGCAATTGGGATATGATGACATGTGTCAACCAAGTCAGCGATCCTGACCACCCGATCCCGTTAGTCGCCTCTTGCGACAAGCATGGGTTACTGAAGGTTCATGCTAAACCGGATCTTCACGGGCCATGTCTTGGATATGCATAAAGGCATAAAACTAAACTCACTCACTACAGTGACGTGGTGCCAGATTACTGGAGGAGAAACGCCCTCAGGTTAAATGGTGATTTTCCTGATGAAGAATCACAATCGGGTCGTATTAGATATAGAGCGTCAGTGCAAAAGTATACCAAGTCTTGTCTATCCTCAGAAACAGACTCCGTTTGGCCTACAGGCAAAAATAGCTGAGAAAATTATATGAATGGATCACTTAAAAAGCGTGATGACATAGGTGTTTGCGATAGAAGTAGGCATGTCCTGCGCTGCCAGTAGCATCCGCCATTCACAAAAGACTCAAAAATGTTTGCCTGACGCTGACAATTCAGATGATCCCGACACTGCTTAGGAAAGTCGTGGCAACCTAACGACCAACCTTGATTCATTAAAACACAACGTTATGAATAAGCATTGCATTTAATCACCTTTCACAACCACAATTGTGAGTGAATACGGTTTTACCGCTTTAGCAATATTCCAGCAATATTCCAGCAATATCGCAACCGGGGATACCAGACATGGGCTTCACACATTGTACCCATGTGAGGAATCGAACCCAGGTCCAGGCTACCCCATTGCCCATCACACCCACGATGTATATTTGAGGTTATACACCAGGAACATTTTACCCTATTTCTGATTCCATTATTACACTTTTACAGGTCAGACTCTACAAAACGCCAAGCCCGCCCTCAGCAGCATGGCCCAGACTGCTGCAAACGCTGGTGAAACCATTGTCAAACAGCTTGCTGGTTCCCTGTAAAGATCAAAACCGTCACGGCAATAAACACTCTTGCCTTAACGACCTTGTGTGTTAAACTTCTTGTCACGTGAAGGCTGCATGGTCTTGTCCTGGACTTTACACCCGTTAGTCAGTGATAAAGGTAGTATTTAGATATTTTCTAGCCATTGCTCAAACACATTACTGCAGCAGCCAAGAAGATTTAGTCTTTGTTGGAAAGGAACGGACGGTGTGCTAAGGAGCCCTTTGGCCATTCGAATCAGCATATTTTAAGAAATATACAAAACTGTTAAAGAACTGTCAGACGTTTTTCAGACCAAAAAGAATTAGACTGCTATTTTGATATTTGCATGTAAAGGACGTATAGTAACACTACAAGTGGAATTATGCTAAACTGTGTTGATTACACTGGGTTGTCGTCTCTGTATTTTAGGTTATTTTTCTTGTCAATACAATCATCAATAATGTACTGGAGGGATTATCCATTAGGTTTTAGGTTACTTAGCAAACAGAGTATGGGTCACGTGAGGGGCTTATCTATTTGAGGACCCAATCACAGGCCTTCGTGTCTTTGCGAGGATTAAAGATTTTATAAAACATATACAAAAGTTTGAGATGACCCCCGACTCGAAATGCTTCACAGTATAATACATTATGATGTATTGTACTGTGGAGCATTTCGAGTCGGGGGTCATCTCACAAACAATATCTTTTTAATCATTTATCCTCGCAAAGACACAAGGGCCTGTGGACTCAATAGGGTTATTTAAAGTCATATATCAACCGATTATATGATGTATCTTATCAGTTACATAGTATTCACCTATTTCAGTTGTCACAGAAACAACTATTCATTGATGGATACTGTTTTTGATTGGGTGATACAATTTTATTTGTCATGTCATGTCATGTCCTTATGCGTGTCATGAACTGATAAGGATGGGTTTTTCCATTAGGTCACCTAGCAACCCACGTATGAGGTCACGTTAGTCTGTCTCACAGTCCCTGAACCACATTATTTTCCCCACTGCCAAGCTCCTCTCTGCAGTGCTAAAGCCCTAAATAAAGCAAGTCTAGATTTCCTCAGGTTCAGGTTCTGAATCTCTGGTCTCCCTAGGGCTCCTTTTCAATTTAAATGGGCTTGTTTGTTACTATCAAACTTATATATATTCAGAGACTAAGCATTAGTCTAGAGGTCACGTGAGAGGGATTAAAAACTCATTAATCACACTCATCAAATGAAGTAGGTCACCTGTCAAAAAAGTCCTATTTACCTCTATGTTCAACAGACGAGTCTTCTTGTAGGTTAGGGAATCGTGCGAATGGTGACGAATGCGGAATGGTCAAATTATCACTGTGCAGTTCTGTGGCTTTGTATTTATTTAATGCTACTGTCAAACACGAAACAAAACCAAGAAAACAACACCACATTCGACATTTACTACACGAACAGCGGCGTAAAAGGTTAAAATCAATCATAGGTAAAATCATTTGATTGATTTGGGTCAGGGCTGATCACTTGAAACCTGTTAACTGCTGACTGTGAAATGTTAAGGCATCCTGTCTCTCTTGTTCCTGCTTCCAACATGGACCCGTGAAGATCCTGGTTAGAATTGGTCTTCAGTAGCCCATGCTTGTTGTAAGAGGCGACTGACGAGATCGGGTGGTCAGGCTCGCTGTCTTGGTTGACATATGTCATCGTATCCCAGTTGCGTAGATCGATGCTCATGTTGTTGATCACTGGATTGTCCACACTGATTATTTATAGTTGGAATATTGCTGAGTATATCAATCAACCAACATCAACCTCTAACCAATAGTAAGACCTTTACGATGGGAATGGACCCCATTCAACCAACCAATAATCCAACCAACCAACCACCAATATCAAATCAACACAACCAAACCAACCAATGTTCTTGAAAACAACGATTCATGCTGGTCAATCAATCAATCAATCAATCAATCAATCAATCAATCTCAATCATGTGTGTCACAACAATCAAGATGTTGCATTTGAATTTTTTGTCTTTTCATATAAATATACAATCAATCAATCAATCAATCAATCAATCAATCAATCTAATCAATCAATCAATCAATCATGACATTGTCCACACTTCATTCAATTGGAATATTCAATCAATGTCAATCAATCAATCAATCAATCAATCAATCAATCAATCAATCGATGCTTCCAACCAGCCAGACCCGTTTGTGACATGACAAACGTTTACACAAAATATCAGAAACACTTATAATATGTTTTTAATCACTAAACAATACGGCAAGACAATGTCAGTTGATACTGGTAATTTCGAATTCTACCCCGACCATGTGCACGTGGTGAAGAATGCTTCCACGTAATTCATGATACGTATTGAATGGAATAATCATTTTCTGAATCAGTATACGATAATGAAGCTTGGTTCTCAAATAGTATCACTCTGAAACTGAGTGTCTCCCACTTTTGTTAATGATAAATATTCACATGAGCCGTAATTAAAACATCTGAATCCAAGAGCGACTACTTAAATGTAGATTATACCCTACCATACTGCAATGCACATATAAAGCACATGCTTGACACAATGTCTCAGAAGCTATTGGTCGCACGTATACTGATTTTATTAATGCGAAAAATGCGTCTGTACTCTTCTCGCATTATTATAATAACGCATTTCAGTCTGACGATGTCTACTTGATAAAAGACAGAAAACGTAAATCTGTTGACACTACACATTACACCAATACAGGTAACTTCCTCATTACAGGTATCTCAAGCCACATGTAATTATCACTGGTTACAATCACTGGTCATTGTTCAAAGTCACTCAAGCACATCAGCCAGACCAGACATTCTCCAGCCACGTGTTTGTTGTACCTTGGTAGATGACTTGCGTCTTTCAAGTCGGATTACGTTTATACATGTTGTCATAAGACAAGTAGTAGCAAGCAATCACGTGATCAAACATGGCAGCGTAATCAAAACATCGTCAACTCCTTTCCATTCATTGCTTAACAAGCTCAATTCAGGTTATTTGGTATGTTACAAGTGTGAAAAGAAAAAGAACAACACCAAAGATTCAGGGTGTCACATTTTATCATCAGGTTCCTGATCCTGATATAGGTACACAGTTTTCTTTCACGTTGATATAAGATTTAAATGATGCAACACAGTCGCAATTTCTAATAGCTAGGGGAATAAAAGATGATGTTGAGTACCTCAGTCTTGTACATGGTTGGCTAAAATTATCCTAGTTTCTTAACTCATAGATTGTCCGGTTGACTAGTACAGGTGGGAGTAAATCCTGAAGAAAAACTGGTGTTGTTCTATTTAGATAGTAGGAACTTTAATTTCTGAAATGCTTCAATAATTCTACATGTCTTCTTGACAATGTTTTCAATGTGATGATAACTCCCGTTAGACGACAAGGTTAAACCGTAATGTTTATGAAAATCAACTGTTTTTAAATATTGCAGCAATCAAATTTCAAATAATTGTCTTTTCGGCCACATTTCAAAGTAAATAATATAGTTTCAGCTTTGTTCTTTTGTTTTTATTTGAACTGTTCCATTATAATGTGTAGGTAACAGGGAGTAGCTAATCTGTTCATTGAACCGTAAATGTTGTTGTTTTAAGGCGTCTGCGAACTGCCTGTCTGGGTGATGGGAGGACACCCACACTCCTGATCCCGAAACGTCAAGTGTTAAATTTCCCGTCTCTATCGTCCTTAAACAGCTCTATAGGTCAAACATTTCCTCTCCTACTTCATGGCAAGTCAGGGGTGTACTTACCATTATGAAAAAATACCGGGCTTACACATGATTGTTGCTAAAAGCTTGGGCGGTCTATACTGTCTTAATGTAAAGCTTTCCAACCTATCGGGCTTACACGTCAAAATTAGCTTGCTACGCGCCTGCAAGTTGTAATGCGTTCCGAACTCTGTTAGTATCAAACAACTAATATCTCTTACAATTGTGGAAATCATAACTTATTTCCCACTACCCCTACTTTTCTAAACGTATATACAAGAGCGCCATGTACAACAATACGTCTGGAACAGAAAATCTAGTGATCGATGTTATGAGCACCGATTCATGCCTCCGGGATGACACGCAATCAACAAGCCTGACCTCTCGATCCAGTTGGTCGTCTTTTGAGACAGACGTAGGTCACTATAACAACGAACTCCCGCCCGTAAGTCCGGAGACTTTCAGTTTGTATACATGTTCAGTTTATATACAAAGACCACTGGTCCGAGATACAACCGTTATCTTGCCACACCTTATCTTAATACCAACCTATGCCAAGCATATGCTCAGTTCCCTAGGAGCGGTGGCAGAGCGCGTGTTATGTATGTCACGTGATTACACTCAATAAAGTCCTCTGATTATATAATTAGTTTTAGACTTCTACAACAAGCAGTCTCAGGTAAGAGTCACAAACATCCCATCCGTACTTTTAGGTTTTGTTTTTCATTAACGCTGTAAAATTCTACAGTATTCAAGTTATACGACGGCGGCCTGCACGATCTACGCAATTGGGATACGATGACATGTATCAACCAAGTCAGCGAGTCTGACCACCCGATCCCGTTAGTCGCCCCTACGACAGGAATGGAGTGCTTAGGACGTATTCTGAGACTGTCTGTGTACTTCCCTGTCAAAGGGTCTGGATCAAAGTGGATCTGGAAGCCTTTCGCTGGATTATTGCATTTCCATTAATGGAGAATTAATATTGCGAAATAACTTTTGTTCACGTGACCAAACGGCGAACGCCCATTGGATGAATGCCTCCAAAGGGCCCCGTTCAAAAAGCGACCTCGGTGCTGAGGTAATATTTGAGAACCCAAATAGCTAAAGGCGCTTTATGGAAAGGGACCCCAATGCAACTGAAAATGTCAATATTGTTCAATTTGACCAAATATTTTTTTTTTTCGTGAGGACCCTTAAGAATAATAACATACAAAATTGAAAACCCAGTATTGTATTTTTTTTCAAATTATATACGTTTTTAAACAAAATCATATGGCTTTTTCGAACCATGATTTCTGGATAATATTTTGATAATATTTGGAGTCTGACATACTGAATACAGATAACGTGTTGTTGTGTGGAAATGGTCATACAATCGTTGGTAACAAAGGGTTAATGCGACCCTTTGGTTATATATTCTAGCCCTGTTAACATTTAATAAAATCATTGAGGGTAATGATATCACATAATATTATAGTTTTCGTTAGATAATCGTTGTTTTGGGCCCTCATAAATCTAGGATGAGAAACGCCAATTGAATACAGTGAGAAGGTTCCTATTCATTACAAATGATTGCAACAATTTCTGATTTCACTCATACTCACACATGGGAAAACTTGTCTGTAATATTTGTGAACTGCAGCAATATATGGTCTTACAATTAAGCATCGTATGGATGGATAGAACTTAAAATATGTTCTTTAAATGTTCCCTCAAATCGAAAATAATACATAGTTGCAAAAATACAAAGAGGTATTGAATGATGAAATGGTGCTGAATGGATTAGACAAAAGAGAAGCACCAAGGGTTAAATGTCAATCAATAGAACATGTTGGGGTGTCACTTGTCAATCAATAGAACATGTTGGGGTGTCACTGTCAATCAATAGAACATGTTGGGGTGTCACTTGTCAGTCAATAGAACATGTTGGGGTGTCACTTGTCAATCAATAGAACATGTTGGGGTGTCACTTGTCAATCAATAGAACATGTTGTCACTTGTCAATCAATGTTGGTGGGCAATGTCAAAGAATATGTTGGTTGGTGTGCCACTTGTCAATCAATAGAACATGTTGGGGTGCCACATGTCAATGAACAGAACATGTTGGGGTGTCACTTGTCAATCAATAGAACATGTTGGGGTGTCACTTGTCAATCAATAGAACATGTTGGGGTGTCACTTGTCAATCAATAGAACATGTTGGGGTGTCACTTGTCAATCAATAGAACATGTTGGGGTGTCACTTGTCAATCAACAGAACATGTTGGGGTGCCACTTGTCAATCAATAGAACATGTTGGGGTGTCACGTGTCAATCAATAGAACATGTTGGTGTGCCACTTGTCAATGAACAGAACATGTTGGGGTGTCACTTGTCAATCAACAGAACATGTTGGGGTGTCACTTGTCAATCAATAGAACATGTTGGGGTGTCACTTGTCAATCAATAGAACATGTTGGGGTGTCACTTGTCAATCAATAGAACATGTTGGGGTGTCACTTGCCAATCAATAGAACATGTTGGTGTGCCACATGTCAAAGAACAGAACATGTTGGGGTGCCACATGTCAATGAACAGAACATGTTGGGGTGTCACTTGTCAATCAATAGAACATGTTGGTGTGCCACCAGTCAAAGAACAGAACATGTAGGGGTGCCACCAGTCAATGAACAGAACATGTTGGGGTGTCACTTGCCAATCAATAGAACATGTTGGGGTGTCACTTGCCAATCAACTGAACATGTTGGTGTGCCACATGTCAAAGAACAGAACATGTAGGGGTGCCACATGTCAATCAATAGAACATGTTGGGGTGTTACTTGCCAATCAATAGAACATGTTGGGGTGTCACTTGCCAATCAATTGAACATGTTGGGGTGTCATATGGCAATCAATAGAACATGTTGGGGTGTCAAATAAATAAATTGGTAACTTTGGGTTTCATTGATAAAGTATCATTCAGCAGAATAATACCTTTCAAGAAAACATTGAACCGTTTGGCCTGTCTTCATGTACGGCAATTCCAGGCCACACCGTGCACGTATCGCACGTCCCCATGGTATTATTAATGGTAACATAGTGATATATAATATATGCTATACTTTTTGTTTGTTAGTTATTATTTCCACATTTAAGCAACATTCAACTCCTTTGCGACAGTTTGTAAATATTCGATCTCGACAACCTGGACCGGAAAATCCAGTGAATGACATCGTGATCATCAATCCACGCACATCAGAAACAATGACATGCACTCAACCAGGTCATAGAGCCTCAGTCCCATTAATAACGCTCGCCACCGCTAAACTAGGATATGAGGATTTGTCAATACAGGTTACGTCAGAAATACTACATTCCAAATAAAATCAGAAGACAACCAGAAGACCGCTTTTTCGAGCTGTACGGCTCCAGTTTCAAATCAGCCGCTCGACAAGAGACTACGCACTGCAAAATGTTTTGACAAAGTGCTCGATTTGAAATTTGTAAAATTAACAGTCTCGCCTGCAATTGAAGCACTTTTTCCGGTAAATATGTCACAGGTGCATGCTAATAATGACTCTATAGACGTTTATTAACATATGATGACAAATATGATTTTGCTTCTACATTCCCTCTACTTTTGTTACTACAGAACAGCAAAGATGAAGGTTTTCATAGTGGTACTGGCCTTGACGCTGAGTGTCGCCCTCGGACAGGATGTCTTGACCGGCCTCAAGGATGACCTCCAAACCATCGGAGGAGCTATCAAACAGACAGGAAAGGACTTCGTACCATATGCCCAGACCGTTGGCAAAGACCTTCTCGGAACCCTAAAGAACGACACTCTCAAAATGGTCGGGAACACAATCTCCGGTACGACACATACATGATAATGAGAATAAGGATATTTATAAAGCGCCTTTTCTATGCTAGGTATCCTGCTCAAAGCGCACAATCTGATCATTATTAACCCGGATAACTCATTCTGCCTGTTAGGCGCTAGAAGGTTATAGTCTCACGACTTATTTCACCGGGTACCCATTTTCTGCTGGATGAACAGAGGCAAATTTGAACAAACTCACTTGCCTAAGGTGAGATCACGTGTATCGCATGTGCTTCGTTGTAGGGCAGGACTGAAGTCCTAGAAACTCTCAGGAGTCAAGCTGCCAAACACTGTCACCCATCCAAAGACTCTCCGCGCCCAATGTTGCTAAAGTTCACAACTGATTGTGACATGAGCTCTATCCACAGGACTACACACCACCACATGAATGAAACTATCTAAGCACCACAACGGCAAAATAAGCACTAAAATGATAACACATTATCTTCTGCAGGCACCTGAATGGCAATACTATCTAAGCACTAAGCACTGTGTAAGATAAGGCACTCCAACCTTAATGTAAACACTAGTAGGGAATTTAAACAACACCATGTAAATGTAAGCACTGTAACATCACTTTAAGCACAAACATGGTATTTTAGTCGTACTGTTCAAATGTAAGCACTGGATCTCAATATAAGCACCAAAATGGTATTTATGAATTACACCCTAACGTCAATGTAAACATCAACAAAGTGTTTAAGCGATACAACGATAAATGTAAGCAATGCAACCTTGATATAAGCACATGGTGGTATTTAAACACTTCCACGGGAATACAACAGTTAGGTACACTACCAACATTAAGCACATCCAAGGCACATTAAGCACAACCTTACATATACACTATATACATGACAATATATTTGAACATAAATTTGAGAGCAAAAGCACATCACGCATAACAGTTCTTTCTGTTCCAGATCTTCTTGGACAGGCTATTTCAAAACTGTTCCATACTGGCAAGAGAGATACGGTGTATGTACTGGCAATATTGTGTCACTTGAATTAGACTTTCCACCCTTCCGATGGTCCTAGGTATACGTCAACTGAGGTGGTTTCAAAAGTTCGATATACGATAAAATACAAATTTCAAAGTCAAACTCACCCTAAAATGAATATGTTCGCATCGTCATAAAAAGTCTTTAAGAAAAAAACACATGACTAACTTAGGGATTTGTTCAAAGGTTCGATGTCGCTTAGAAAGCTCAGCAACTTGTTACAATTCCCTCAACTCATCCTCCTTAAAACGTAACTGTGTACATATTGGGATCCACAAATATTTTCTTGTGTCAAAAATAAAATTACAGTATTGTTATATATAATTTTATCAACCCACAGCACAGAAAGGGATGCCTTGTCCGGTCTCAAGGACGACCTGCAAACCACCGGAGGAGCTAAGAAAGAGACAGGAAAAGACTTTGTACCATTTGCTGCCGGCGTAGGCAAAGACCTTCTCGAAACCCTTAAGAACGACACTCTCAAAATGATAACCGAGGGCACTATCTCGGGTAAGACATGCACATGCCTCCATCCGTTAAGCATTACGACAGCACAAGGAGCGCACAAACGCATAATCAGCAATGCGTTTTGTAAGCACCACAAGGGTTTTAAAGTGTTACTACACATGTCATGTCAACAACCTCTACAGTTGAGTTGGGCTTTATGTTACATCGGCATTATTCCAGCCATATAGTGACGAGGCAACCTCTACAGGCACCATAAAGGTATGTAAGCACTACTACCTAAATGTAGCACTGCAACTTAAATGTAAGCACATTCAGAAAACTGAACCAGTACTACGTACATGTAAGCACAGCATATTCACTGTAAGCATAGTAAGAGTACTAAAGCACTACTGCGTAAATGTAAATACCGTTCGCCTAAGATGAAAACCACAGGGTTATTTAAACGTTATTATGACACTGTAAGCAAAGTGAAGGTTTTTAAACACTTTTACGAAGATATAAGCACTGCATACTTGCGATAATCACGACTGGGGTATTTAAGCACTACTGCAGATATTTAATTACACCCACCTCACAGCAGGCACCGCCAAGAACGTTTACGTAAATGTAAGCACTGCAACGAAAATGTAGGTAGTGTAACTTAAATGTAAGCATAATAGTAACACTTAAGCCCTACCCAGTTATCGTAAGCTCATCAACATCAATATAAGCACAGTAAGGTGCCAACCCAGTTATCGTAAGATCATCAACATCAATATAAGCACAGTAAGGTGCCAAAGCATTATTACGTAAGGAGTAAGGATATACTCCGAAACGTTGTGTTCCTCATGATAAAGAAGCTGACAACCATAAAACCCTCTTCCTTACGTGTAACACTTATGAATGCCATTCATTAAGTACTGTTACCCAGTAATACAAGAACCACAGTGATATTTAAAAACTGCGACATAAATGTAAGCACTGCAGTCTCACTGTAAGCACCAGAGAGGTATTTTAAGCTCTGTTACAAAAACATAAGTACTACTTCAACCTTACCGTAAACATATGTAAGCACCACCCTCTAAATGTAATAACTGCAACCACATTCTGAGCACCGCGTAGGAATGTAAGCAGTACTTTTTCAATGTCAGTAGTGATACCACAGTGGTAATGCAGAAACCACTGCACATGAATCTTATGATTACAACTAAGGACATATAAGCACTTCATATTTAACACTCGACAGATGATACTTGAGCTGAACTCTACACACACGACAATATGAATTTCAACATAAATTTCGGGGCGGTGTGGTAGCCTAGTGGTTAAAGCGTCCGCTCGTCACGCCGAAGACCCGGGTTCGAATCCCCACATGGGTACAATGTGTGATGCCCATTTCTGGTGTCCCCCGCCGTGATATTGCTGGAATATTGCTAAAACCGGCTTAAAACCATACTCACTTACTCACTCACTCATTTCAGTGCCAGCACTCACTGCATGCATTTCTTTTCTTTTGGGACCCTGGAAGATCAGGGGTAGAATAGGTCTTCAGCAACCCATGCTTGCCACAAAAGGCAACTATGCTTGTCGTAAGAGGCGACTAACGGGATCGGGTGGTCAGTCTCGCTGACTTGGTTGACACATGTCATTGGTTCCCAATTGCGCAGATCGATGCCCATGCTGTTGATCACTGGATTGTCTGGTCCAGACTCGAATATTTACAGACCGCCGCCATATAGCTGGAATATTGCTGAGTGCGGCGTAAATCTCAACTCACTCACTCACTCATTTCTTTTGCAGATCTTCTTGGACAGGCCCTTTCTAAACTGTTCCATAATGGCAAGAGAGATACGGTGTATGTACAGACTGTAGTCTATCACTTAAGATTATCATCCACCCTATCACATAACATGCATGTTTCCACACCTCTAACTGCATCAGATATAGGTGCTAATTTGGGAACAGTTGAAATGTTTGATATACAGCATATTACTCAACATTTCAGCCGCACAACGCCTAAAACGTATTTCCAATGATATATGAAGAAATATTACTTCGCATGTAAATATATTTGGGAAGTTGCTCAAAAGATTGATGTCAGACAGAAATCCAAGTTACTTCTATTTGGCCATCAATCCACTAGCATAAATGCGTATTGGTGTAAATGTTGCAATCCACAAAGTACCTTTTTAAGAAAAGCAAAGTACAGTTGTACATTTTTGACACAGCACAGAAAGGGATGTCCTGAACGGCATCAAGGACGATTTGGAAACTATTGGTGGTGCCATCAAACAGACAGGGAAGGACTTCGTACCATTTGCTACAGGCATTGGCAAAGATCTGCTGGGAACTCTTGAGAACGACACACTCAAGATGGTCGGAGGAACAATCACTGGTAACACAAATATTTGAGTGAAGTTTCACCACAACAGCACAATACATTATGTTATTAACGCTCACTCATTAAAATGATCATATGAATGTTAGTGACAAAATCGTGTCATAAATCATAAATAATATATAGGAACAGACACCACAGAACAAATACATAATACCAGAACATAGCAAGGTTGTTTTTGATAGTTTTCCATGGCCTTGAATATTGTAACGACTTTCGACCAGGATCCTTAGGACGTGTTTTGAATTTTCGTCGAAATGTGCCTACTCGAATCTATCCCAAAAGTAATGAAAAGTAGACAACAAAGACTGAACCATATAAAATATGAAAATGACGCCAAATGACAACAAAATGCACCAGTCACTTTGTATTTCTATTTAATATATTTTGTATTCCCTGAATTTTGTAGAATTACTGTTTTTGTTATTTACACAGTAACAAATACGCAAGAAACCTTATGTAATCTCTAGTGTAGTTGTTATAACAGATAAACGTGAACAACATAAATGTTAACAATAAACCTTGTTTTATTTTGCATCAGTTCATTTTTGTTTCAGATCTTCTTGGGCAGGCTCTTGCAAACCTGTTTCATGGCAAGAGAGATCTGTAAGTTTACCAAACATCCCATACTTATCACGATCCACCTTTAATCCTCCGGGCTACAAGGGGCGGTGGGGAAGCCTAGTGGTTAAGGCGTTCGCTCGTCATGCCAGAGATCCGGGTTCGATTCCCCACATGGGTACAATGTGTTAAGCCCATTTCTGGTGTCCCCCGCCGTGATATTGCTGGAATATTGCTAAAAGCGGCGTAAAACCAAACTCACTCACTCACTCCGGGTCTACAACCTCCCGATTCTATCCAGTGTAGGGTCTACTTTGGAAGCATTTACTAATATCGACGATTGATATAAGTTAACTTTTCATGTCAGATATCCAAGCATACACCTGACATTCCTTAAGCACCACTGGATACTGCTGACATACTGTGAGATATTCTTCCATATATAAACAAAACAATAAAACAAACAGAATCCTAAAGCAAATATTTTTATCAACTCGTAGCTCAGAAAGGAATCTTCTGACCGACATCAAGAATGACACAGAATGCGGTACTTATTCTGATCCACACTTTAGTGTCCAAATGTATGGTCTGCCCAGGACAGGGAGCAGTTACCAAATCAATGTCTGATAGAATAGGTACTCAACGCATGTTAGTTGTACTACTACCCTTGTCCTTTACTATTAAAAGAGAAAGAACCTAAGGAAACACAAGGCCAGATATATATTGCTTTAACTCGTAGCTCAGAAAGGGACATCCTGACGGACATCAAGAACGATCTGCAAACCATCGGTGGTGCTGTCCAACAGACAGGAAAGGACTTCGTACCATTTGCTGCTGGCATCGGCAAAGATCTTCTGGGAACTATTCAGAATGACACTCTCAAGATGGTTGGAGGAACACTTACTGGTAAAACACATACGTTGACGGAAACATTTCACATGCCACGAAAACAAAATGCACCTAGAGACGCAGTATGATTCAAACGTCCATGTAAGCGTCAAAAGTTTCATTATCAAAATGAGCATGTGCAGCGAATACCAAAGCAGTTTTAACTTCAGCAAAAATGTGTTGTATGTCCCGGGTTTACATAGATGCTAACATTGAAGATCCTTGTTAGAAATGGTTCACAATAACCTGTCCTTGTTGTACGACGTGAATAACAAACTTGCGTGGTCAGGTTCGCTCCTTTGGTGATGCTTGTCTGCATATGCCAATCGATGCTGACAGCGAGTTCAGTCACTTGGTGGTGTGGTGCAAACTTGATTATTTATGGATCCTGTAACTCTGCGTTGTGTGGTTTCCAAGAACAAACAATCACTGATGCTTTTCATCAGGAAGTCCGTCATTTCACAAATATATTTTATTACACTTGTTTGCTAATATATCACAAATTGTACTGAAGCGTTGATGCCAAAGATCGTAACAATATGTATGATTTCCACGTTTAGTCAACGCGTTCTCCATTGATCAAAGATGAAGCTGTTTCTTAAGTTTGTTATGTAAGATAATGGTGTTTAACATTTACAGTGATTCATTTCGGTTTCAGATCTTCTTGGTCAGGCTCTAGCAAACCTGTTTCATGGCAAGAGAGATCTGTAAGTTTACCCAACATCCCATACTTATCATGATCCACCTTTAATCCTCTGGGCTTACAACCTCCTGATTCTATCCAGCATAGGGTCTACTTTGGAAGCATTTACAAATATCGACGATTGATATAACTTAACTTTTCATGTCAGATATCCAAGCATACACCTGACATTCCTTAAGCCTCATTGGATACTGCTGACATACTGTGAGAGATTCTTCCATATATAAACAAAACAATAAAACAAACAGAATCCTAAAGCAAATATTTTTATCAACTCGTAGCTCAGAAAGGAATCTTCTGACCGACATCAAGGATGACTTGCAAACCATCGGTGGTGCTTTCAAAGAAACAGGAAAGGACTTCGTACCATTTGCTGCAGGCATTGGCAAAGATCTCCTGGGAACCCTCATGAACGACACTGTTAAGATGGTTGGAGGCACAGTCAGCGGTAAATCATGTCCAATCACACAGTATTATTTCAGCACTACAACATCTGATATCTGTCACCAACGGACACAAGGTCATTTTCCCTTCCACACATTTACCAACCCGGAAATACAGGCGTGAGTGAGCGAGTGAGTGAGTTTAGTTTTAGCAATACTCCAGCAATATCATGGCGGGGAGCACAATAAATACGTTTTACACATTGTACCCATGTGGGGAATCGAACCCAGATCTTCGGCGTGACGAGCGACCACTTACACCCCGCCGTTCCCCCGTAAGGACCAGTGAGATCGCCACGAATGTTTTACATGCAGGACGATTCAGAGTGGAACAGTAAATATCGACACTACTGAAAGACAGGAGATAATACTTAAAGATGTTCAGTAGCATGGGTCTAGCTAGCTTTGTTATATGGAATATTTGCGTCCAGAGTGTATCCATTTGACATAATTCAACTTAGTTCCACTCTAAAATTAAACATATTCTAACAAATCCTTAGGATGTGGTTAAGTCAATATGCAATCAAACAATATTGTATCGAGGTTGAAGGTACGTAGGTAAATACTTCGAGTTATTCTAGGATCCACACATCCGCTAAATCATCACTAAAAACGAATAAACAAGGGCCATACTTGTACTTCGAGACAAACGCGCGGTCGACACAACATTAGAGTCCGACACATCGGTGTTTCACTGTAGTAAAGTAGTTCCATATGACCCAGCCGTTTAGCAACATAATAACAATGGTGATATATGCAAGACAGCAGCAATATAAACACCACATTAATCCCTTTATCATCGCTAACACCGGAAAGTAGATAATACTAACACTACCTTGTACACCACGACGAAGATAATTTATGAAAACATAATGAAACAACAATTTTCACGGAAACCCCTTCCACTTTTGTTTCAGATCTTCTTGGGCAAGCTCTTTCAAAATTATTCCATGGCAAGAGAGACCTGTAAGTATACACAATATCCTATACTTATTCTGTTTCACCTTTAAGAGTATTGTACCAAGTGTACCTTCTACTAAGTGAGCAGTTGTCAATGTCACTGTCTGATGAAAATTAATTACGGTATTTCAGATATGAGCACACACAATTCACACCCGTAGTGCCCCACTGGATACTGTTCACATGCTTAGAGAGATCATTCAGAAAGGAACCCTAACAAACACAGCATCAGATCATATAAATTATTATCATTATAGTCATTCGAACTTTTGAATTTAATATCTAATCTAAATACGCATTTGTTTTGAATAATTTATATGGTAGCTTCCCTGAGGGCTGATAGTATTAGTGAGAGAAATGCATTATATATTTTTAGAGAAGTGTGGTGTGAAATAGTGTCTTTAAAGATATCGACGACTGATATAACCTAATTACTTATCATCTAAACTATACCAACATACACCTTCACTTGATACTGTTGTCATACTCTGAGAGATTGATGAATTAACCCAACAACAACATAAAACAAAACAAAACAAACAGAATCCCAAAGCAAATATTTCTTGTCAACTCGTAGCTCAGAAAGGAATCTTCTGACCGACATCAAGAATGACCTGCAGACCATCGGCGGGGCTTTCAAAGAAACAGGAAAGGACTTCGTGCCATTTGCTGCAGGCATTGGCAAAGATCTCCTGGGAACCCTCATGAACGACACTGTTAAGATGGTTGGAGGCACAGTCAGCGGTAAATCATGTCCAATCACACAGTATTATTTCAGCACTACAACATCTGATATCTGTCACCAACGGACAAATGGTCATTTTCCCTTCCACACATTTACCAACCCGGAAATACAGAGTGGAACAGTAAATATCGACACTACTGAAAGACAGGAGATAATACTTACAGATGTTCAGTAGCATGAGTCTAGCTAGCTTTGTTATATGGAATATTTGCGTCCAGAGTGTATCCATTTGACATAATTCAACTTAGTATCACTCTAAAATTAAACATATTCTAACAAATCCTTAGGATGTGGTTAAGTCAATATGCAATCAAACGATATTGTATCGAGGTTGAAGGTACGTAGGTAAATACTTCGAGTTATTCTAGGATCCACACATCCGCTAAATCATCACTAAAAAGGAATATACAAGGGCCATACTTGTACTTCGAGACAAACACGCGGTCGACACAACATTAGAGTCCGACACATCGGTGTTTCACTGTAGTAAAGTAGTTCCATATGACCCAACCGTTTAGCAACATAATAACAATGGTAATATATGCAAGACAGCAGCAATATAAACAATGCAATTATAATAGCTACATTACTCCCTTTATCATCACTAACAACGGAAAGTAGATAACACTAACACTACCTTGTACACCACAACGAAGATAATTTATGAAAACAATTTTCACGAAACCCCTTCCACTTTTGTTTCAGATCTTCTTGGGCAAGCTCTTTCAAAATTATTCCATGGCAAGAGAGACCTGTAAGTATACACAATATCCTATACTTATTGTGATTCATCTTTAAGAGTATTGCACCAAGTGTACCTTCTACTAAGTGAGCAGTTGTCAATGTCACTGTCTGATGAAAATTAATTACGGTATTTCAGATATGAGCACACACAATTCACACCCGTAGTGCCCCACTGGATACTGTTCACATGCTTAGAGAGATCATTCAGAAAGGAACCCTAACAAACACAGCATCAGCTCATTTAAATTATTATCATTATAGTCATTCGAACTTTTTAATTTAATATCTAATCTAAATACGCATTTGTTTTGAATAATTTATATGGTAGCTTCCCTGAGGGCTGATAGTATTAGTGAGAGAAATGCATTATATATTTTTAGAGAAGTGTGGTGTGAAATAGTGTCTTTAAAGATATCGACGACTGATATAACCTAATTACTTATCATCTAAAATATACCAACATACACCTTCACTTGATACTGTTGTCATACTCTGAGAGATTATAAACAAACCCAACAACAACATAAAACAAAACAAAACAAACAGAATCCCAAAGCAAATATTTCTTGTCAACTCGTAGCTCAGAAAGGAATCTTCTGACCGACATCAAGAATGACCTGCAGACCATCCTCGGGGCTTTCAAAGAAACAGGAAAGGACTTCGTGCCATTTGCTGCAGGCATTGGCAAAGATCTCCTGGGAACCCTCATGAACGACACTGCCAAGATGGTTGGAGGCACAGTCAGCGGTAAATCATGTCCAATAATACAATATTATTTCAACACCACAACACCATGCTTTCATATCTGTCACCAACGGACATATGGCCATTTCACTTCCGGAGATTTACCAACCCGGATATAGAGGCGTGAGTGAGTGAGTTTAGTATTACGCCGCGTTTAGCAATACTCCAGCAATATCACGATGGGAGACACCAGAAATGAGCTTCACACATTTTACCCGTGTGGGAATCGAACCCGGGTCTTCGGCGTAACGAGCGAACGCTTTGACCATTAGGCTACCCTACCGGTGTCCTCGTAGTGCCAGTGAGATTACCTCGAGTGTTTCACATGCAGGACTCTGCATACCGATTCAGAGTGAAAAAGTAAATATTGACAATACTGAAAGACAGGAGATAATACATAACGATTCTCAGTAGCTTGTGACGGGTGCCGCCGTTGGGGAAAGATAAGAACAGTTTCTGACATTGTTCAGATCTATGGTATCCACGTTTTCTTACAATATCCAGTGGATCAAACTGTTCCATTAGTTTTGTTTTATGGAATAGTGGTGTCCAGTGTGAATAATGACTAAATTTGACAGAATTTAACTTAGTTCCATTCTGAAATTAAACATATTCTAACAAATCCTTAGTGTTCGGTTTAGCCAATATGCAGTCAAACAATATCGTATCAAAGTTGAAGGTACGTACGTAAATACTTCGAAGTCTTGTAAGTTCGACAGAGCCTCAAAATATTAATAATAATAATAATAATAATGTGTCCATTTATATAGCGCCAAACTCCACACTAGGTATGCTCATAGCGCTAACAATCAAGGCCATTATTACCCCGGATAACCCAAGCTGCCTGTTAACTAAAAGGAATGTACAGGGATCAAACATTTACTTCGAGACAACCGTACAATCGACACATACGAGTCCGACTCAACAGTGTTCCACTATAGGATATTAGTTCCATAAGACGCCGCCTTTTAGGAGTATAACAACAATGGTAAAACATGCAAGACAGCAGCAATATAGACAATGCCATTATAATAACCACATTAATTCCTTTATCATCACTAACACCGAAATGTAGATAATACTGACATTAACGTGAACACCACAACGAAGATAATTTTTGAAAATCTAATGAATAAAAAACATTTCACGAAAACTCCTCCACTTCTTTTCAGATCTTCTTGGGCAAGCTCTATCGAAATTATTCAATGGCAAGAGAGATCTGTAAGTATACACAATATCTGATGCTTATTGTGATCCACCTTTAAGTGCCAAGTGTATGTTCTATTAACTGAGCTGATGTCAATGTCTAATAAATCTTAATTACTGCATTTCAGATATACGCACATACAATTCACACCCCTAGTCCCCACTTGAGATCATTCACGTACTTAGAGATGCCAGATTAAATACATTTTGTTTCAAATCGTAGATCAGAAAGGGATATCTTGACTGACATCAAGAACGACCTGCAAACCATCGGTGGTGCTGTCCAACAGACAGGAAAGGACTTCGTACCATTTGCTGCAGGCATTGGCAATGATCTTCTGGGAACTCTTAAGAACGACACTCTCAAGATGGTTGGAGGAACACTGAGTGGTAAAAAATACGTTGACGGAAATATTTTAAGATTCGATGAAATGCACTCAAAGACGATAAGAAGTCGTTTAAGACCGTAAATTCATTGACGTCAGTCGTTGTTTTTATAAGATTGCAAACGTCCAAGCAATTCCTTTGAGGTTTTCTTTGAATTCACAAACTTAGGATTCCACTTTTTCCAAATACTCTCTGAACATTACAAGAAACGCTTTCATTGATTGTATCGGCTAATGGTAACAATAAAATAGTTAACGATAAAGCACATTTCAACTGCCGCGATTTCCTTGGTTTCAGATCTTCTTGGTCAGGCTCTTGCAAACCTTTTTCATGGCAAGAGAGATCTGTAAGTTTACCCAACACCCCATACTTATCATGATCCACCTTTAAATCTCCTGATTTACAACCTCCTGATTCTATCCAGCATAGGGTCTACTTTGGAAGCATTTACAAATATCGACGATTGATATAACTTAACTTTTCATGTCAGATATCCAAGCATACACCTGACATTCCTTAATCATCACTGGATACTGCTGACATACTGTGAGAGATTCTTCCATATATAAACAAAACAATAAAACAAACAGAATCCTAAAGCAAATATTTTATCAACTCGTAGCTCAGAAAGGAATCTTCTGACCGACATCAAGGATGACTTGCAAACCATCGGTGGTGCTTTCAAAGAAACAGGAAAGGACTTCGTACCATTTGCTGCAGGCATTGGCAAAGATCTCCTGGGAACCCTCATGAACGACACTGCCAAGATGGTTGGAGGCACAGTCAGCGGTAAATCATGTCCAATCACACAATATTATTTCAACACCACAACACCATGCTTTCATATCTGTCACCAACGGACACATGGCCCTTTCCCTTCCACACACAAACCAACCCAGAAACACAGGTTTGAGTAAGTTTAGTTTTACACCGCTTTTAGCAATATTCCAGCAATATCTCGGCGGGGGAATCCAGGAAAAAGCTTCACACATTGTACCCAGCTTTGACAACGAGGATACCCCACCGCTCTCGTCCTAGGATCAGTGAGATCGCCTCGAGTGTTTCTCATGCAGGCCTATGCATAGCGATTTAGAGTGATAAGGTATATATTGACAATACTGAAAGACAGGAGATAATACTTAAAGATTCTCAGTAGCTTGTGACATTTTCTGACATTGTTCAGATCTATGGTATCCACGTTTAGTTACAATATCCAGTGGATCAAACTGTTCCATTAGTTTTGTTATATGGAATAGTGGTGTCCATGGTGGATAGGGACTACATTTGACAGAATTTAACTTAATTCCATTCTGAAATTAAACATATTCTAACAAATCCTTCGGGTTCGGTTTAGTCAAACAATATTGTATCAAAGGTGAAGGTACGTACGTAAATACTTTGAAGTCTTGTAGGTTCGACAGAGCCTCAAATTAGTCATTAAAAGGAATGTACAGGGATCAAGCTTTCACTTCGAGATAACCCTACATTCGACACATACGAGTCCGACTCGACATTGTTCCACTATAGTATATTAGTTCCATATGGCCTGGCCTTTCCGTAGCATAACAACAATGGTAATATATGCAAGACAGCAGCAATATAAACAATGCAATGATAATAACCACTGTAATCCCTTTATCATCACTAACACCGGAATTTAGACAGTACTAACTCTAACGTGAACACCACAACGAAGATAATTTATTGAAAACTATGGCAAAAACAATTTTCACGAAAACCCCTTCACTTCTGTTTCAGATCTTCTTGGGCAAGCTCTATCGAAATTATTCCATGGCAAGAGAGATCTGTAAGTATACACAATATCCTATACTTATTCTGATTCACCTTTAAGAGTATTGTACCAAGTGTATGTTCTACTAAGGGAGCAGTTGTCAATGTCACTGCCTGATGAAACTTAATTACGGTATTTCAGATATAAGCACACACAATTCACACCCGTAGTCCCCCACTGGATATTGTTCATACACTTAGAGAGTTCATTCAGAAAGGAACCCTAACAATCACAGCATTAGATCATATAAATTATTATAATTATAGTCATCCGAACTTTTTAATTTAATATTGTAATCTAAATACACATTTGTTTGGAATATATCATATGGTAGTTTCTCTGAGGGCTGATAGTATTAGTGAGAGAAATGCATTATATATTTTTAGAGAAGTGTGGTGTGAAATAGTACCTTTAAAGATATCGACGACTGATATAACCTAATTACTTATCATCTAAAATATACAAATATACACCTTCACTTGATACTGTTGTCATACTCTGAGAGATTATAAATAGACCCATCAACAACGAAAAGGAAAAGAAAACAAACAGAATCCTAAAGCAAATATTTCTTGTCAACTCGTAGCTCAGAAAGGAATCTTCTGATCGACATCAAGAATGACATTGAAGCCGTCGGTGGTGCTGTCATACAAACAGGAAAGGACTTCATACCATTTGCTGCAGGCATTGGCAAAGATTTCCTGGGAACCCTCGTGACCGACACCGCCAAGATGGTTGGAGGCACAGTCAGCGGTAAATCATGTCCTATCACACAATAATATTTCAACACCACAACACCATGCTTTCATATCTGTCAGCAACGGACACTTGACCATTTCCCTTCCACAGATTTGCCAAGCCAAAAATACAGGCGTGAGTGAGTGAGTGAGTGGGTTTAGTTTTACGCTGTTTTTAGCAATACTCCAGCAATATCACGGCGGGGGACACCAGAAATAGGTTTTACACATTGTCCTCATGTGGGGAATGGAACTCACGTCTTTGGCGTGACAAGCGAACGCTTTGACAACTAGGCTACCCCACCGCCCCACTGTAAAGATCAGTGAGATCGCCTCGAGTGTTTCACATGCAGGCCTGTGCATAACGATTCAGGATTGAAAAAATAAATATCGACACTACTGAAAGACAGGAGATAATATTTAAAGATGCTCAGTAGCTTGTTACTAGCTACCTTTGTTATATTGAATAGCGGTTTTCAGAGGGGATACATTTGACAGAATTCAACTTAGTTCCACTCTGAAATCAAACATTTTCTAACCCTTAGGGTTTTGGTTAAGTCAGTATGCAGACAAACAATATTGTATCGAAGTTGTCTTCGAAGTATACTTGGGTTTTTTCTAGGATCCATTCATCCGCAAAATGATCACTTAAAAGGAATATATAAGGGCCATGCTTTTACTTCGAGACACCCGTACAGTCGACGCAACATTAGAGTATGACACAACAGTGTTTCATTGTAGTAAAGTATACTACCCATCAAAAGTTTAGACTCACTTAAAGCACTCACTATATGTTATGTATATACATGTGGTTACATCGAAGATGAATTTTTCCACTAACTTGTGGGAACCAAATGCAAACCTTATGCAGGTGAACTGCACGAGAATTATGCATCAAAATGTTGAAAAGCATATGCAAATACTAGTATCGTGCATGTAAACAGCTGCGTTTTGGTGTAAAGTTTTGTTAAGAATTCGCCAATTTTCAGCCAGTTTCATCATTTATTGAACTCATTACAATAATCTTTTCAACGTTACGAATTTGTTTTACAATACATCAGTTCCTTTAAACAGTATGGAATATTTAGCACAATCTAGTTCAGAACAGTTGACTGAAGTAAGTGGCTACATTAACACTAGTGAGTCTAAACCTTTGATGGTTAGTGTAGTTCCATCTGATCCGTCCTTAGAACAATGATAACAATGGTAATATATGCAATTTAAACAATGCAATTATAATAACCACATTAATCCCTTTACCCTCACTAACACCGGATGTATATAATACTAACATTACCTTGAACACCACAACGAAGATAATTTATGAAAACCTAGTGAAAAAACACTTTTCACAAAAACAAAACAAATTCTTCTGTTTCAGATGTTTTTGGGCAATTATTCCATGGCAAGAGAGATCTGTAAGTATACACAATATCCTATACTTATTGTGATCCACCTTTAAGTGTATTGTACCAAGTGTATGTTCTACTAAGGAGGAGCTGTCAGTCTCAATATCTGATGAAACTTAATTACACTGCTGCATTTCAGATATGCGCACATACCATTCACACCCCTTGACCCCCACTGGATATTGTTAACATACCTAGAGCGATCATTTAGAAAGACACCCTAACAAATACCGCACCAGATCATATGAATTATTATGAATTCGTAGCTCAGAAAGGGATATCCTGACGGACATCAAGAACGATCTGCAAACCATCGGTGGTGCTGTCCAACAGACAGGAAAGGACTTCGTACCATATGCTGCAGGCATTGGCAAAGATCTTCTGGGAACTCTTAAGAACGACACTCTCAAGATGGTGGGAGGAACACTGAGTGGTAAAATATACGTTGACGGAAATATTTCAAGATTCGATGAAATGCACACAAAGACGATAAGAAGACGTTTAAGACCGTAAATTCATTGACGTCAGTCGTTGTTTTTTATAAGATTGCAAACGTCCAAGCAATTCCTTTGAGGTTTTCTTTGAATTCACAAACTTAGAATTCCACTTTTTCCAAATACTCTCTGAACATACCAAGAAACGCTTTCATTGATTGTATCGGCTAATGTTAACTATAAAATAGCTAACGATAATGCACATTTCAACTGCCGCTTCTGGGAACTCTTGGGAACGACACTCTCAAGATGGTTGGAGGCACAATCACCGGTGAGATGTGCAATGGTGAAATTATTTGAACGCCACAACACAGTGTGCACTTAGACGTTGAAGACATAATCATATGAACCACTCACATAAGCCACACAATTGTGTGCATAAACACCAATACGTTACTGTAAATAAAGCAGCAAAACTCTGTCCATATTCACAGATCTCGGCTATAAGCAAGGCACATTGCACGATTTTGCCTATGGTTTACATATATATTTACGAATCACTATCAAACTGTGGCGCCACAACAAACACTTACGAAGAACATTTAGCTTCACATGACCATACAATTAGCTGAAGTCATAAGCAGAGAATTGCATTGAACAACTCCATGTCTACCATACTATTCTATTTCAAGTGAAATTTAAGGCAATCTTGCCTTGAAATCAAACTTAGGCTTCCGGTCTATTGATAATCTGATATCTTTCAGTGATGGTCAAACGACCAGTTCCCTTCCACTGATTTATCCATCTCAAACAGGCATAAAAACGTCCAGTGAAACATGTTTGTTTCACATGTGAGCTCACGCGTGAAAAATCAGTGCGCTGTTAAAATGAACACCACCTGGGAGATTTCAGATGTGAATTAAACTTTTCAAGACTCATTTTTAGGCTTAAATATTCGAACCTTTGTTGTCTACATTTCACAATTTTGGAGGTCCTCCGGAACTCAAAAGTTGCATACGTATATTACATGGTCGAAAGCTATCACAAGGTTGCAGAGGATATGTGGAGACCACATACACATTTGATTCATCAATGGGGAACACTATGTTGGGTATACTTCCCTATTTTGAGGACCGCATCCGTGGTGTAGTGGTTAGAGCGTCCGCCCGGAGAGCGGCAGGTCGCGGGTTCCCCGACCGCGTCAAATCAAAAGACGTTAAATATGGTGCTTGTTGGTCCCTGTCTGGCGCTTGGCATTCATGGGTACAACAAGGACCGGTCGGCTCGGAGTCAGTATAATGTGTCTGAGTGGGGTATTCATGCTTCACTGCGGCATGGTATCTCAGTGGGCTAGCACTATAAAACCAGCTTCAGTCTGGGGTAATACAAGCAGCCGCACATACACATACACATGCATGCACGTCGTCATATGAGCGAAATATTCTCAAGCACGACGTTAAACCCAATTTCACGTCTTCTCACCTCCTAACCGTACATATGCAATCCGACTAAAATGCAGCAGGTGACCAAGAGAGGAAAAACAACTGTGTTCGTTTTATCCGTCTGTTCTTTACAAGCGCGTTTGTTATAACGTAGTGGCACATTCACAGGTATAGAACATGAGCACAATGTACACTTAAGGGTCAATACGTCCATGTAAGCATTACAAACGGTAAAGTAAAGAGTACAACCTGGGACGTTTGTAAACTTTGAATGGAAAAACATACCGTTCACTTTTATTCTTTCAGATCTTCTTGGTCAGGCACTTGCAAACCTATTCCACGGCAAGAGAGATATGTAAGTATGCATGATATTTGATTCCTAAAGCTTGCCTACAAAATGTGCTTGCTCTATTTGGGGAGTAGCTCAAAGGTTTCATGTCTGAAAATTGACCAAATTCACTTCATTGCACCCTAAAACGTAATTTATAATGCTGAGGTGCATCGAACCACTCTTTCAAATGCAAAACCACAGTTACATGTATGTTTTTAATCGTAGCTCAGAAAGGGACGTCTTGACCGGCCTGAAGGATGACCTTAACACCATCGGAGGAGCTATCAAACAGACAGGAACGGACTTCGTGCCATATGCCGCCACTGTGGGCAAAGGTCTTCTCGAAACCCTCAAGAACGACACTCTCAAGATGGTTGGCAGCACAATCACTGGTACAGTACTTCGGTTTCATCACTACAACTCCAACATGCTTTTTAACCACAAATGGAGCTCTACAATGATGGTGTGAGCACCAAAGTCTGAAAAGCAAAATTGTATAAATATAAGCCAATGTTCATGCAGGAATTGGTTAGGTGATATAAGTCAATGTTCAGGCAGGAATAGGTAGGGTGATATAAGCCAATGTTCATGCAGGAATTGGTAGGGTGATATAAGCCAATGTTCATGCAGGAATTGGTAGGGTGATATAAGCCAATGTTCATGCAGGAATTGGTTAGGGTGATATTAGCAGATGTTCATGCAGGAATTGGTAGGGTGATATAAGCCAATGTTCATGCAGGAATTGGTAGGGTGATATAAGCCAATGTTCATGCAGGAATTGGTAGGGTGATATAAGCCAATGTTAATGCAGGAATTGGTAGGGTGATATTAGAGGATGTTCATGCAGGAATTGGTAGGATGATATAAGCCAATGTTCATGCAGGAATTGGTAGGGAGATGATATAAGCCAGTTCATGCAGGGAATTGGTAGGGTGATATAAGCCAATGTTCATGCAGGAATTGGTAGGATGATATTAGCAGATGTTCATGCAGGAAATGGTAGGGTGATTTAAGCCAATGTTTATGCAGGAATTGGTAGGGTGTTATAAGCCAATATTAATGCAGGAATTGGTAGGGTGATATTAACAGATGTTCATGCAGGAATTGGTAGGGTGATATAAGCCAATGTTAATGCAGGAATTGGTAGGGTAATATTAGCAGATGTTCATGCAGGAATTGTAGGGTGATATAAGCCAATGTTCATGCAGGAATTGGTAGGGTGATATTAGCAGATGTTCATACAGGAATTGGAAGGGTGATATAAGCCAATGTTAAAGCAGGAATTGGTAGGGTGATATTAGCAGATGTTCATGCAGGAATTGGTAGGGTGATATTAGCAGATGTTCAGGCAGGAATTGTAGGGTGATGTAAGCCAATGTTCATGCAGGAATGTGAATAATACCCGTCCATTACTTTTTCAGATCTCCTTGGGCAGGCCCTTTCAAAACTGTTCCACTTTAAGAGAGATACGCCGTATGTATAGAAAATGTCTTATTTTGCCACCCAGCTTAGAATCCAGTCCACAAGCTACAAATGAAACTAAAATACTGAGGTTGTCCCACATGAAAGCTCTCAGACTTGGTTGACACATGCCATCGTATCGCAGCTGCACGATGTTGATCACTGGATTATCTGGTACAGACTCAGTGTTAACACACCGCCGCGATTATAGCTGGAATATTGCTGAGTGCGGTGTTAATAAAAAAACAAGCAAACTTTCTGATCCATACCTGTCTATTCCAGCAATCTGGTCCAGCAAAGCCAAGCTTTTATGTCAGAGCTGAAGAACCTACTTGACCTTGGCACCTCACAGTTCTCTGATGTCATCGACGAGGTATTCTCAGAGATTCAGACCATCTATACCCAGGTCAAGAGCCTTGAGATGCACCCTGAGGATGCTGAAAAGAAGATTGATGCTGTTGCTGGTTGGTTTCGCAGTTACACACGTGGTTAGCCAAGTGGATGGGTCGGTGGGAGGTCGTTACACTTGTTTACGCTGTAGGGAACAACGAAAAGCCCCAAGATGGTCAAGAGTGTTTGTATGAAACATCCAGACACTCCTTGTATTCTAGGGGCGGTGGGGTAGCCTAGTGGATAAAGCGTTCGCTCGTCACACCGAAGTCCCGGGTTCGATTTCCCATATGGGTACAATGAATGAAACCCATTTCTGGTGTCCCCCGCCGTTATATTGCTGGAATATTGCTAAGAGCAACTCCTTATATACTGTGTAATATTGTATCATTGTAGCAGGCGTTGTAATAAGATACCAACGAGGTATCACCTGATCAGATGTACAAGAAGCATTAAGACATTCACAAGGAATACACATTGATCGTATCATTATCTTTTCAATGGACAGTGTAGGTAAAATGTGAATTTTGTATATACGACATAGTCTTGAAACAACATCATCTGTACACTGATATGGTTACCAAATATGGTTGCTGTAGAACGTTCACACCTTGGGTCATCATCTCTCTAGTTTCTTCAGCATCGCGCCTCACCATTTGTCGGTTCATGGCATTAAGTGTTCTTGCAGCGGGACTGATCGTTACCTGTCGGTTATATATTGATATATACAGATATATGCGTCTGTTGTTCCAAAGACAAGGTACATTTGTGAAAACCTTTCGTTTAGTTTGTGATAATCAGTAGTAAAGACACCGAAAATATTGGCCAAAACCATGTACCCAGTGTGTCATTACTGCTTTCAAGTATAGGAAAGATGGTATGTTCAAAAGTACATAATTTTGTATTTCCCGGGCTTTAGGAAATTGAAACTAAATGCTCTTTTGTTTTATCTTTCCCTTGACATACAGCTGTCGCATCTGTCAAGAAAGTAATTGTTTCTAAACACAAATGTCACAGGCAATGATTATTCGGAGGTTTCTATGTGATGCGGAAATCATTGGATTTGGCTCTGAGCAACTGTATTTGGGCAAGAAACGTTATCGACTGTATTTGAGGTGGGGTGAAGGGTTTAACGTTATAATGCTCACGACGTGCACGCGTATGTATGTGTATGTGCGGCTGATTGTACTCCCAGACATTAGCTGGTTGTGCTAACTGAGATTGCCGCAGTGATGAATACCCACTCAGGTCCTTGTTAATATTATTTTAACTGGGCAACTTTTTTTTGGGCAAGAAAAACATAATCAGAAATATATGCAACGAAGAGTCTTGGCACAATTGAATATTCATAGAACAGTCAACATCTGCTCCATGACCTATGCGCATCGTGAGGTACGACATCTGCTGGGCATACTGGATGTCAAACGCCGGATTGTCTCCCTTGGTGTCCTCCATTCTTCTAGTATTGTGTGCTATGGACGAACCCAAAGTGTTCAGTCAGTGACGTTATTCGGCTATCCATGACAATATTGTGACTGTTTGATGCCTCTGGCTGTTGACTGCAGCACTAGTTCTGTGACGATGCCTAGTCATCCCGATTTCATCCATCGGGCGGTTAATTGTTTTAGGGTACCCGAGAGTGTTTGGCAACTTCCTCTTGTGAAGGTTCAGCTTCAGTTATGCCTATTGCGTGCACTGCATTCATTTTCTGTCATATACGTATTTGGAGGCATTTTCTTTTGTTTTTCGGGATTGGTTGTTAAGTGCATGTAACCAGGATCACAGTGGACCGCGTTTTCTAGATTTGCCGTAATGGGTTTGCGTGACTTTGCTAACTTCATTCAGTAATTGTAGCTAACATTTTGGTGTTCTCGTTTATATTGTTCCTTGTCTATGTTGGCGTTCAGTGAGTGAGTGAGTGAATTAATATTTTTCGTCACATCGGCAATATTTCAGCCAATCATCATTTATCATACTAAGGAGCAATAAAATTACAAATGAAAAACAACTGTTGACGATGAACTGTAAAAATACTAGAGCACCACCGATAAGGTAAAACTACCATGTTATCATACAACGATACCATTAAAGAGAACAAAACAATGTAAAAACAGGCTATAGATCGCCAGCAACTGAAGGTAGATCACCATACTATGATCCATGAGGACTTTCAGTAGTTTTTGCGACGTGCATGCACCCTGGCGTTCGCTTCGTGATCAAACAGAAAGATAGGTGTGTATTAAGGGGGGATTACAGAACACAACTTTAAGTTGTACTTATCTTATAGCCAAGTACAGGGTCTCTGACTATCGAATTAATACAAGCCTTGCGCACTCAATGAGAACGCCAGGAGGGTTGGCCTGCATAATGGGGTTCTTGACAAATGAGGTTTCTTTGAACACAATTGTACGAGTTGTATTCATCTTTCAGCTAAGTACAGGTCTCTGGTTACCGAATTCCTGCAAGCCCTAGAGAGAGATGTAACTAAAGTCGTTACCACAACCTTTGGGCAGAAGAAGAGTAACATGGTCAGCGGTCTGGGAAGCTCTATCTCTGGGTTGTTCAAACCAGGCCTTGACGCTATCGGAAAGGTATGAAAACACCAGTAATTGTAAATAAATATTATACTTCTAGGGCACAGGCTTGGTCTATGGTATCTGGTTTCGCTGTGCTTATGAGGCATGCCATACACCTATGTGGGTTCGAATCCCACCTGTGCTGTTATCTCCGTCGTAACTAGACTGAAATATTTGATAATGCAGTCAAAATTGTAACAAATGTCAAAAGTATCACATACACATAAAAAAAGTATGGCAATAATGTTTGTTTGCATGATTGCTTTGACTCCTTTGGCGCAACATATATACATTGATCTTATATATATATATATATATATATATATGCACGTGCTATGCATCCGATTTTTACTGTCCAATCAACAGGTGTCTTTTAATACAGCCCAAACCTGCTTTCTTATCCTTCGGCGTCGACATGCCCTTTTATATTCTTAACTTCGTACTGTAAATATATATTATATATCCTATATTCTTTTAGTTTTGTATTTTATATGATATAGTCTCATAAGTCTGTAAAGATTGGCTCAACGTTTTATTATTCCCTTCTATGTACATATGTATGATGTTGAGGTGAGACTCAAATAAATTATCTGTCTGTCTGTCTGTCTATCTGGTTTAAACAATCCAGTGATTAGCAGAGCATGATAATTGCTTCAGTTCACACGGTGCACGTGAAATAGTACAGTGGATTCTGTATAATCCGACATCTGAATTATCCGACAATCTGTGAATTCCGACATATTTTTGGGTCCTGGTAACGTTCTTCTATATTATCAGGATTTAAACATTGAATTATCCGACACCTGTACATTCCGAATTCCGACACCATTGTCTGGTCCCAATGACACTATTAATCTGTATAATCCGACATCTGAATTATCCCACAATCTGTGAACTCCGACATATGTTTGTGGTCCCGGTAGCGTTCTTCTATATTATCAGCATTTAAACATTGAATTATCCGACATCTGTACATACCGAATTCCGACGCCATTGTCTGGTCCCAATGACACTATTAATCTGTATAATCCGACATCTGAATTATCCGACAATCTGTGAATTCCGACATACTTTGGGAACCCGGCTGCGTTCTTCCATATTATCATCACTTAATCATTGAATTATCCGACATCTGTACATTCCGAATTCCGAAACCATTTTCTGGTCCCAGTGACACTATTAATCTGTACAATCCGACATCCTCTCCCCATATTGGACTAAAATAGCCAATCAACCTGTCAATGGCCAGTTGACAACTAACATCCTGTTACTGGTAATCTCTTTGGTCCCAGCACTTGCTAATTGGGAAGTAATTAGCAGTGTGAGAACGCTGGTACCTTTGTGTTTACAAGCTGAGTGGCCAATGTGCGGACCTAGGTATGTTTTGTCCAGCATAGGATGAATGGGTCTCACCATAATTGATCTCACCAAATTAATTGATCTCTTTTCTCAAAAAGAGATCAATTAATTTGGTGAGATCAATTACCAATTTGGTGAGATCAGTTAGTGATATACATGTACAGTCCAAAGATATACATGTCCAATGATATACATGTACATGTAAATACAGAATTTGTTGTTTTTTTCTTCCCTTTATTTACCAAGAAAATAGCTATTAAGCATTAATTTCATAATATAAGCCAGTTACGATGTATGGTACTGTTTGAAAAATATTCAAGCAAGGAGACATTGAATTATCCGACACTCTGTATAATCCGACATTTTTCATGGTTCCAGTGAGTGTCGGATTATACAGTACTTGTTTCACACACAAACTCAATGTTCCCAGATGGTCCTTCAACGAGCTGTATATTATCCTCTAAGCCACGGACCAAATCCGGAAGATTAGGGTAAGTCTGAACACTATAGTACTATAGTAAGCCGTGTGTGTATTAATTTGTCTCTAAATGAAGCAAGTCTAGAATTCCTAAAATTCGCCCTTTTCACTAGGGCTCCTGTTCAGTTACTATAAGAATACATTTTTATCCAGAGACTGAGCGGTAGTATATTTGTGTCCAGAGACTGAGCGGTAGTCCTATCTTTCGACTCTAGAAAAACGTTAGCAGCTAAACCCACCCATTCGTCGTGCATGTGTGTCCGATTGATGAAAGAGTGGGATGCAGACGAGAGAGAGAGATCGCCCAAAAGGTCGACGTTTGACGTCACGAGCAGAAGACAAATCAAATCGAGATTTCTGCCGGCTACACGAACCAGGGCTGAGATGAGAGGAGAGAGAGAGGGAGAGGAGAGAGAGAGAGACATTAATACATAGAGAGGAAGAGAGATAGAGAGAGAATATATATGGAGAGTATATATGGAGAGAAAGAGATAGACAGATACACACAGAGAGCGTGAGTGTGTATGTACCAGAGAAAGATTTGGGTGATGCAGAACCTATTTTGAGAGTGAGTGAGTGAGTTAAGATTTAAAGTCACATCGGCAAAATATTTCAGCCATATTGTGACTACTGTTTTGAGAATTGGGATAATATCCATATTTTGAGATATCTTTATGTTGTATCATCCATTTATCGAAATGCCTGTTTCAAACATGAGGTTAAATAGGTGGAACTTCCCAGGCTGTGGGAGAAAATGGGGGTGAAACATGGACTGGTCGATATGGAATCAGTCTGAGTAGGGTCATTATGTTAAACTACATCATGGTATCGCAGTGGTATGGCACTATACGGCCGGGATAATTAGTCAATCATGCATTCGGACACCGAAAAAGCAAGAAGCAAAGGAGGGACATTATAAGTTGTTCACTGGTCTCGAGGGGCACATGGGCTGATGTACCCTCGATGTTTGTTTATGTTCCCTGAGCCCGTATTTATCTTACTGAACACCTCAATGGTAATTTTGAACTGTTTCAAGCACGGGTATCGGATCATGATATGGAGTACCAGGCGACAAGACGACAAAAACCCAACAAATTTAGAGTTTTCTCCCTTCCATTGATTTGCATTCGCATACCATCGGTAATTTCCGTACATCTTCATCTTCGTGTTGACATACATATTGTTAATGACAAGAAACAAATAGAAATACATGTGTTTATTTGTTAACAATACATTAGACGCAATATAACAGTCAGAAGGCCTAGGCAAAGAGGTGGGCAAGTATGTTAACCCGTCGGTGCAGAGGTGTGTTCCTGTTCTACCGATTCTACTAATTTTCCATTTGTAAAAACAATATCCGTCTAGTCTCATTTTTAGCTGTCGCCTTCACACCCATTCCATTCATTTAGTCATCTGTGTATGTCTCCAGTTTCAGGCATCATAGATAACTATGTCAACAGCATCCTTAACCTGGAACTTCGTAACATCACACATTCCTTAATTGGGTAGTCATTATAAACAGTCGTCGTTGATGTAGATTGTTCGAGAATAAACATACTGTACCTATCTGGCTTGTGTGTTTATTGTTCCGAGTGTGTGTTATCATTACTTCGAGATATAGAGCTACTATGCTTCAAGAGATTAAGGAATGTATAATTAATATATGGCACGGGGAGTCTGTTTCGAAATGGTTTATTAGTGGAATTTTTCGATCCAACGATGACATTCCTGCAGTTATATATAATACCCTATAACAGCCATGAAGTAGTATCCTTACAGCTAAATGTGGTATCCAAAGAACAGCTAAATGTAAGGGTACCTCACAAAGAAACCGGACAGCTGGCTTAGTGAAGCATTTCTGCAGCCAGGTTCCAAAACTCAGTCAGTCAGTCAGTCAGTCCAAATGATAAGTTAAGCCCAATGTGTCCAACCGATTGTATTATATTTGACTTTAACTTAGTAATAAACAATACTGTGATTTTTTATTCATGATTGACTGTGATGTCTATATGAAGTGGGGTGGCCTAGTAGTTAAAGCCGTCGCACGTCACGCCGTAGACTCCTCCTTCATATCTCCAAACGCTGGCAATGATGATACAGGTATGGTGAAATGGACCTCGACTGTTTTGGGGATTCCCAGGAGTCCTTAGTGGTGAACGTTCAAAGTAGTACGCGTTGGTGGGCGTGGTTAATTTTTACCTTTTTGGGAAATAAATACAATAACACGTTCAGGTGATCAGAATGTATCGATGACAATGAACACAACAAAAATTTAATTGTATATAATTGGCTTGTGAAATTTCATACCATCAAATCAACTTACCGAAGTAACATTCAGAAACACACACACACACACACACACACACACACACACACACACACACACACACACACACACACACACACACACACACACACACACACACACACACACACTTTGGCCATAAAGCGTTTCCAGCGTTCGCTGGTTAGAATTGATTTGCAGCAAACAAAGCTTATCGTACGATACGACTAACGGGTGGTCATTCTCGCTTACTTGGTTCACACATGTCATCGTATTCCAATTGCATAGATCTACGCTCACGTTGTTGATCACTGGATTGTCAGTTACAGACTTGATTAATTACAGCCTGCCGCCGTATAGCTGGAATATTGCTGAGTGAGGCGCCAAGCAACAAATAAACAATACAATAATTCAACAATATTCCAGATTATGTGACAGAGATTTCTGTAGAGACAGTTTGGTGTACAACTGCCAAATCAACCATGTCAACGAGCCTGAACACCCTATCCAGTAATTCTCCTCTTAGGACAAGCATATACTCGCCTCATCCGACAAGTAATGGTTGCTGAAGACCAGTTCTAACCCGGATATTCACCGGGCACCTATTGTCAGTGGTATAACCCTAAGTAGACCACTCCGAAGGCCGTCCCAGTATGTCTCTTTTTCATCGAGGAAAGGTGGGGTAGCCAAGTGGATAAATCGTTCGCTCGTCATGTTCGATTCCCAATTGGATTCAATGTGTGAAGCCCATTTCTGTTGTCCTCATCATCTTATTGCTTGAATATAATTAAAAGCGGCGTTGGACCATCCTCACTCACTCACTCACGTTTTCAATCAAGTTATCTCCTCCTATATGTAGAACAATCAGGTAATGTACAAGCGAGTGTAGTGAAATTTCATTTTCATACGTACAGCTCGCACACCTGGCTGTTCTACCAGCTAAAAAGGGTACTATGTGTGAGGCTTATTTCTAGTTTCCCCACCATGAGAAGCAGAATATTGCTAGAAGCAGCGTAAACTCCTAACTAATTCACACACTGTTAATGTTGGTAAATTCTTCGTAGAACATAATCAATCTATTAAGTTATATATCAGATGTTCTGTGGTTTCTCTTGACTTCATTTGGCCTATGTCTGTCCGTTCAGTGCCCCGTTCCTCAAAGCGATCGTAACCGTAAGACGATCGTATCTCCCATACTTTAACATAGGCTTACGACAGTCGTAGCGCTACAATCGTTTTGAAGAACGGGACCCAGGACCCGTGAATACCTGAGTTCAAATGTGTGGATGCTCATGACTTCAGTCACTGAAATGTTTGGTCCAGACTTGATTATTTACAGACGACCGTCATATAGCTTGAATACAGCCGAGTGGCAGTGGACAGCAAGCAAACAGATTTGAGACCTTTCAGACCTGAAGGTTCAGTTGTGAACAGGTTGGTAAAGTGTCAGGAAAGGTCATGTTGTTGTGGAGCTGGAATCGGGACGTGCCATCTGTGATTGTAGAATGATGACCCTTGTGCCTGTAGGTCACGTCTACCTGGGAAGGTAAGAAGATCAAAGATTCACACAGGCCTCGTGTGCTCCATGTGTTCAGTGTGTGTTTTTTTATGTGGGATTTGCATTGGCGTAACTCTGTGTGTGTGTGTGTGTGTGTGTGTGTGTGTGTGTGTGTGTGTACGTGCGTGCGTGCGTATGTGTCTGTCTGTTTTGTGGATTTTATGTCGGGATGTCAGGCCACTTGACTTCGACCCATTTGGTGAAACGAACGAGCTGGCTCTAAGAGCTATATGAGTATGAATGTAACATTCGAACCACGATTGGCGCAACCAGCAACCGGAAAGGGCGATAACTGTACACTGCAAATTTTACAATAACGAAGTTTAGATTTGATCGTCCCCATATACGACCGTTTTCACACCATGACAGCTATAATACATTAAATATATGTTGGTCCATATACAAATATATCGATAAGGTTTGATTGCACTCAATTATTTCTCACACAGAACGTGTCGGGTCAGTAATTAGTTCGATGTCGGGATATGATCTAAATCCTCAAGTGTATTCTCATAATGTAAAAGCTAAAGTCAGGTTTTGTCATAAACCAGAAGGAATGACATTTGTACCCGATATTGCCTGTTTCAGTTGGAATGGTGTATGTTCCCGATCCCCAGATCTAAACTAAATGCCAAAAGAAAGCGTACCATCAAAATTTTGAAATTCTGTGCACCCAAAAGTATCCCAAATGTGGGTCAAATAAAAAATTGCCAACAATCTGGAATTTCGTGCACTTTGTGAATAAAACAGAAATGCATGCTTTTCCATATCCAAATGCACAAAATTCACATTGAGAAACCAAATCACTGTGAATGCAACCCCATTGAGCTTAGGTGACAGGAAAACATATTTAAAATGCGCAGGCTAAGCCGCGAACAAAGAGAAAGAGCAATAGACATGACCAACATGGGCGCGTCTCATGCCGACGTTGCAAGGACGTTTGAATGCCACCGTAAAACCATCAACAGATTAATGGAACGTTTTCAACAGTCAGGCACGACCTTGGATAGACCGAGAACTGCCAGACCCCTTATGAAGACCGTTATCACAGGAATGTCAGAACATTCCCAATGACGTCATCAGACGTCTCACAACGTTAGTAAGACGTCGTGTTTATGGGTGCATTAACTCTCGAGGAGGATACTGACCACACACACATCCCTGAGCGTACATTGAACTCGATAACGAATTTCAAACTCTATGATTTAAATTGTGAAACTGACATTTGATCCCCATGTGAATCTTTTCTCTGTACAGTTTGCTTTGTTTAATTTGTGTAAACCATTGTAAATACTGTGGAAGCCATCCATCCTTCAAATACATATGAAATTTCATTCAATGCAATTGGTTATTTTTTCCCATAACAATTTTCGTCATGGTACACTTTCTTTTGGCGCTTAGTTTATCACGAGGAGTTGAGTTTGCAGTGAAAACGTACCGATGAATTTCACTTTAAACAAAAAAGTAAACCAAATAAAGTGAAATTAAGATTTCGAATCCTCATAAATTTACCTTGCCAATTGAAAATTTAAGTCTCAGAATTTTATTCAACTTACGATAAAAGTTGTTAAACAAACGATCATAGATTCAATCGTAATTATTGGTTTGTATTACAAGGGGTATAGGCAGTAGTTGGAACAGTGAAACAAATGCACGTGCGGTACGTGATGAGCGTTAACTTAGACCAACCCTACTTGTTCTCGGTGTTTCATTTAATGTGCATACCCCCTTGTAATACAAACAAGTAAAGCGATTTGAAACTATGATCGTTTGTTAAAATTCTGAGATTTAAATGTTCGATTGGCAAGGTAAAATTATGAGAATTCGCAACCTTATTCCACTTTATTCGATTTACTTTTTTATTTAAAGTGAAATTCATCGGTATGTTTTCACTGCAAACGGACTATAGGTTGGCATGGGAAATAGCTATCGTCGTTGACATCTGACACTAAATGCCGTTACTAAGCGACCGTCATGATATACGACTTTGAGATAAAAGATAAAGGTGTGGCGGGTGTCGTCAGCATGTCCGATTAACCACGTACTGGAGTGTGAGGGCACACGCAGCAATTGTCTATAGAACCAGGGAACGTACATGTGTTACATGACACGGACAGATGCAGGAATTTTAGCCTATCAGGGAGACCGAGGTGACCTATCTTGCAAACAGCACATGCCAATAGCGTGGAAAAACATACTTAAAAGACGGTTGTTTTTCTACAGTCCCAAGCAAATTCAGCTTTTGTTGGAACGTCTGAGTGTCTGTTAAGATTTCTATAAACTGTACTCGAGAGATACACTGAGTGAGTGACTATGATTTTTCGTCGCTTTTGGCACAATTCTACCAATACTACAACGGGAGAGACCCGAAATGAACTCCATTGTGCTAGCACTTTAACCACTTTTCTAACCCACTGTCCCGTACACATGAGCAGGGAAGAGCATTTTGTGTGATTTCCAAGTGTTATTCAGTATTAGATGCACAGAAATTTCATTTTCGTCCTTGTCCAGTTTCTTACGTGTAACTAAGGCTTTCGTGATACATTTAGGTCTTAGAAAAAATCATATAACGAAACTCCTTCAAGTAGATGTAGCAGTGGAAAGTCCCAACGATTTCGTGTATGAAATAACAACGATTGACAAACAATCGGTTTGCGGTGCACACTCATGTTTCATTTCTGATCAATGGGGCCGGTGCCATGTGCAAACACTATATCACGCTTTGC